GACCGTGGATGGGAGGAGTCGTATTAGAGATAGCTATGCGAGTTAGTTGCTTTGTTGAACACAGAGGTTGATAGCCGATCATGCTCAATCTGAAGTTGGATGTCGAGGAGAGAGTGGTTCCTGAGACCGCTGAGGTGAGTTTCAAGCTAGGATGATATTTGCCGACAAAGTCAATGAAGTTGTCCAGTTCCTCTCCAGTGGATGATGCACGTAGCACCAACTATGTCATCTATGTACCTCCTGTAGAGTAGTGGCAATGGGCCAGTGTAATCTCTAAACATGGTGGTTTGGCTATACTCAAACACTATCTAGAGCTTTGCCAGATTCAGGATCCTCCCACCAGCACTCTGCTCCATCTGGCTTACTTCGCGTTCAATGGTGAGCACTGCATTCAGACAAGTGGTCAGGCTATGAGCACACGGATGGGACCAAGCTTTGCATGTCTGTTTGTTGGCCACATCGAGGAGCAGATGCTGACCCAGTATCAGGGCGTGCAGCCAATAATGTACCGGCGATACATCGAAGATATAGGCTAGTTGGTGCTATCACCGGTACGCGTAATGACGTTGAGAATTTCTTCACGTTAGCGGATGCTTTTCACCCAGTACTGCATTACACATATGATGTGTTGCAACACTCTGTTACCTTCTCCGACGTGCGCGGAAACTTGGCACAACCGTACACTACAAACCCACAGATTGTCACAGCTACCCACAGTACCAATTGCCTTACCCCCTAAATGCAATAAATCCATCCCTTACTCCCAGTATCTTTGACTGCGTAGGATTTGTATTAGCTATGCTTAGTTCTCTGCGCGTGGGAAAGAAATGCTAAGTTTCTTCCATCAGCGTGGTTACCCTCAGACACAGACGCTGCCTTCAACGCGGTATCTTCAATCTCGCACGAAATGGCTCTGAAACCCACTAGGGCCAAGCAACGTGATCACGTCCTCCAGTACTCACCACCTTCGAAGCATTCCGGTACGTAATGTACCTCCCTACAGCCCGTTGGTCGCTGGCCCTCATCCCCAACCACCCACCCACCAACCCACCCACCCTACAACCTGCCCGCCCATCCAACTATGGATTTGGACGGATATATCGCGGTACTGCATCGGAACGCCAACGACGTAAATCTTCAATGAGTGACATGGGGAGCGCAAGTTCAAATGCTGTTGCTGCTGCACCAATTCGAAAGGGGTGTGTTTGAAAGTTTTGCCCAATGAGTCCTAGATGGTCGAACGCTTTACTCAATACCGCACTGAACTGGAAACAAGTCAGTCGGCTTCCGTCAAAGAGGATACCACGTTGCCTAGGGTGCATCAGAACAAATGCAGGCAGTGCTTGGACCGGGCAGAGAGTCTGATCCATAGCCGCAGCTAATTGGGTGATTTGTGGGGGACCTGATTGGTTTGCTTTACTTCGTTGGAAAGTGATGTCAACGGAGTGCCCTGATTTTGGTCAAAGCAAAAGCGGATATCCTCAATCTGCAAGACAGACTCCTGGACCTCTTTGTTCGAATTTGCTGCAAACTCAACAACACGCATAAAGCCAAAGAAAGCACAGAGCATTACTGCTTGGAACATAATGCTTTCGTAATGAGATGTGCACATCAGAGATAATGAGTCATCAATACGGGACAGAATAGGCAAGGAAATTGGCATTTTCAAATCCCGACTGGGGATATCCCGACGTGCACGCTCTAAAAACCTGGAAATTATGAAATCATTAGTTGGGTCCGGCCAACCATGCACTTTATGAAAGTGAACCGACCCCGAGACATAAAGTGGAAATTGTGGAAGGGGACAGACTATGTGGTGACAACCAAGCTACAAATTCCCGCCCTACAGGTATAGACGCTGGAAGTTGTGGAGTTCCCACTGTGTTGCAAAAATCTGCAAAACGCTCGCCAACCGGTTGTCATATGCCGTATGAGTGTGGGATACCATGCCAAGGATAGTAAACGCCTTATCTCTGACCCTACTACACTTGGGGAAGAAAAGGTAATTGGGTCATGTGCAGTGCCGGGGGGGGGCACAGAACGAAAACGGTCCACCGGAAACTGGGACACAGAATCAGCAATATCATTATGAACTCCTGGGACATGGACAGCCTTAAATGTAATATTGAAGTGAAGGCACCACAATACAAAATACACAAACAAGGTGCATAATCTTGGGACACTGAGAAGTGTGGGTATTAATTATATGCACAACAGCCATGTTATCTGAATGGAAACGTACCCTCCTGATGCATAATTATGCATCAGGAGGGGAAGCCCAGCATTGCACTGCAACCACAATTGGGTAAAACTCAAGAAAAGCAATGGAAGGAGATGATGAAATAACTGATGGCGGCCACCGCCCTTGTGCCCATTGCCCCTTTAAGTATGCCCCAAACCCAATACCCGCTGCTGTATCGGTAAACAACTCCAAAGGTTGATTGGATTCCCACTCAACATCCCGAAGTGCAGAAACTCCATTAAATCCGGAAAGGAAATCTAGCCACATCTTCAAGTCCTGTTTGGCCCCTACTGAAAGCCGCACTCTATGATGGGGCTTAGTCAGACCTTGTGTCAGTGCAATCAGACGGCGAAAGAACGCTCTACCAGGTGCCACTGCCCAACACTTAAAATTTAGCGCACCCACCAAGGACTCAACTTCCACCAAATTGATCTTCTTTCTATTCAGCAGTACCTGTGCAATTTTGTCTCTGAGTGCGACAACTTTAGCCTGTGGGACACGCACCTGCATAAGCTTGGAATCAATCTCTAAGCCTAAGTAAGTTATGACTTGCTGTGGGCCTTCTGTCTTTTCCAATGCCAGGGGACCCCAAGCTTTGAGCACACATTAGAAAATTCATCTAAAAGATACTTGCATCCCATCTGAGATTTGTCCACAAAGAAAACGTCATCTAAGTAATGTGTGATAGCTGCTGACTTGGCAACTTGACAAATGCAAAACTCAAGAAATGTACTAAATTTTGCAAAAAGAACACATGAGACTGAAGAGTCCATTGGTAAACATTGATCATAGTAGAATTTGTCCTGAAATGTCCTAAAACCTTTGTCCTAATATGTCCTAAAACCAAGCAACTCGTAATCGGCTGGTGCCACTGGAAGCCTAAAAGCGGGGTTGCGAGCCTGATAGACTGAAACTACTGCCAGTACTAGCGGGGTTGTTGTTGCTTGCTGCTGCTGTTGCTGCAACAGTGAGCCATAGCTCTAATCAACAATACCCCAGCCAATGGGCCTATGGTATCATTAGAAAACGCAACTAAACTAGCAGTTGTACCTGGCCCAGCAGCTGGTTCTGCAATAATGCTTGGTGCACTTGAGCTTCTCCCTGGGTTGTCAGCCTTACTGGTGTGCAATGCTTGCCAAACAGTGGTCGGGGTAGGGCTTGTAGGAAGACCCTCCACCTCCCTGAGTGCCGTGCTGGATAGCTGAGGAGGCACTGCCACTGAAGATGGTGCCAACGGCGGTGTGGGCATCGCAAAAGGAGCCCAACACGTCAGCTTCAGCAGCTGTCGCGCTGGCAATGGCTTGCGCCATGGCTCGTGATGATCGCCGTAGAGGTTGCTGGCCAACCCCAGCAGCCTTTTGTGGCCGAGGCCTGTTAGTTCCAGCCTTTTTGCTGGCTTTCCCGCCACTGAGGCATCGTGCTAGTAATACAGCTCAGTCAGTGCTGACCAAACAACAGCAAACAGGATTCGCCTCCTCCGGCTAGATTTCAAATAAGAGGTCTGGTCCCGCTGAGCTTAAATGTCATGCAATGTGATCATACACACAGGTTCAGCACACTCCTGCTTTCCAACCACACCCTGGCCTCAAAGGTTCCGTGAGGTGACTCGTAGTAACTTTCAGATGGACGGCACACAACTATTTTTTTCCAAAGTCACACTTGTCCAGCATTCTCTTCTCCCAAGAAGGAGAGGCCCCAACACTTTAGCCCTCCAGATAGTCTGTGCTTGCAGTAATCCTGCAGCCTGCAATGCACTGTCAACCACAGCAATTGTGTTTCACAAAAAGGATGATGATCCCAGCTTGGACCAGAATGACCAAGCTGCCAGTCCTCATAATATTCCACAGAAAGAATATTCCAATTGATCCTGCTCCCAGAATTACTCCATACAGAGTGTTCAAATTGACCCAGCTTGCCCAACAAGCTGTGACAGAATGATCCTCACATGAGAATTTCCATCCTAAACTAGCATTGCCTGACAGAAGTAAACTGACCCCTTGCCTGATTGGCTAAAGCAATGAACTGTGATTGGCTACCAGTTAGTGCACAGTAACTCTGATTGACCCACTTTATGAATAATTAGTGCTAGAATCCTCTTCAGAATCCACCTTTTGTGAAACCTTCAATTTTCAAACTGTCATAACTGCAAGAAAGGGGGACGATTGAATGCAAACTGGTGCAGATTTGTGGGGATCTGTTGCAGCTTTCTAGAACCCTGAATAAAACCACACAAGGCAGTGCAGATTTTACAGCATTTTTCTTCTAACCGTGGAAAGCTGCATACATGCTTGTGATCCCACCTTCTGCATAAAGAGTTGAGTTGAGAGCAGTATAACATAGTATAAGTATAACATCTGCCAGGAAGTGTGACAGCTATTTAGGGAAGTGCACATAGGCCTACGTGCTTATATCTAATACAGTAAGATTCTTCAAACCATGCAAAGCAACAGATCTGTGTTCAACCAAGTATAAAGGGTTCTGTCAAAATACATGCATTGTGACAGAACCTCTTATACATATATAGCATTACATTGATCTCCCCTATATAATGGAGATTAATGGAATTAACATGGATTTTTATGCGTTCATTCAGAACTGAATCTGCTTGCCCTGACGAAGGTACCCATTTACTGAAAGCTCGGCAATAAGATAATTCAGAACACTGATTGTGTAATTATATTTTGGTCAATATTCTGATTACGGCACTACGCAGCCCTTTCATATAAGTCTTAGTGAACAGTAAGACTATTTGTACAAATTTACAATCAATGCATTTCAAGCAGAACTTTATTCAACAGATCAAACGACATGCGTGTGTTTTTGTTTAGGAAACAAATAATGAAAACTATTCAGAATGACACAGCTTTGTATTACATGTCATTTGTTGCCATAATGTGCTTTAAAATGGACAAAGTTGTTGCCTATACACTGAAACTAAACAGTTCAGGTAAGAAATTAAAATTTGAAGTGACTTCAACATTCCCAGAGTAAAGGCCGTGTGAGTGCTCAACCATTCGTGCAAGAGAGAACCAGGCCAAATCTCATTTCTTTTTGTAAATCCTCTGCAAACCTTTCATAAAACAGAGACGGCTAAGGTTTTTAAGTAAAGCTATTTCAATTTACAGCCTAAGAAGTCAACATCCAGTCGTTTCTTAGGACAGTTGATACATTACCGAATGTGTATCGGAATGGTGACATTCATGAGCCTATTCATTTTCTGGTACTGCAGGCTTTTCACCATCTTGCTTGTGAACTCATAGCTTGAGATATGGAACTTCAAGATTGAGAGCACTTTTTTCAGTTTTCACATACATATGACCATATGAATCCAAAATCTGAAGACTAGCATAAATCACTAGTACATGTGAAGACAAATGGTAACGTCCATTGATTTTAACAAGCAAACTGATTACAACTGGGATTGACAAATGTTTTGTATTGAATTAAAACAGAAATCCCTTTTTTCTCATGTGAATATTATGAACATTTTATAACAGCTTTAACAAAAATGCACATGCATATGGATAAAACTCTGTATTCCCTTCCAGTTTAACAAGATAGCACAGCCTCATTTTCACCTACATATGACTATGTTTCAAACAAAAAGAAATTCAAATTGACTAAACAGTATGTCGAACTTTACTTCAATGACTTTTCCATATGTACAATTGAATGACTCTTAAGGAAATGTGTCAATTAAAATTGTTATTCTTATCATTTAGCATAACAAAACATGGTGAAAAGCTTGACTGTAGCAAATTACAAAATAAATTGAATCTAGTTTCAAGCATTTCTAAGTAAATCAAGCAGTACACCTCAAATAAACTGGTTAAACTCGAAATGGGCTTGAAAGGTTGTTTCTGACTGCTGCTTCAGTTAGCCATTATGCAACTTCAGGTCAACTTGGTTGCGATACTGTAGAAGGTCCTGGCATTTTGCAAAGAAGAGAGAGAAAAAGAAACTTATCATTGGAAAGCCCAAATCAATGTAACAAACATTTGTACAAATACCATTTGGCAAACTACCAATAAATGAATGGACACCCAAATTCAGGATCAATTCTGCATCTGAAGGGGGCAGCTGAGGAAAATAGAGCACATAACAATTTCATTTAACAACTATGGATCGGGAGTGGCTGATCCCTTACAAAATTTAATTAATATATTTATAAAACCTTAATACTTTAAAGTCAAGATGGTAAACAATAATTCAAATACACATATTTGTGATATGAAATTATGATGGCATCAATTGAATTTAGATTATTTTAGATTTATAATTATCCTGTATCTCCTTGTCTATGCATAAATTTATGTCAACTCCCATTGACATCTTGAATGTGAAGTGAAAAAGCATGCATTCCCTGTTGTGACATTCTGACATCACCATATGTCACGTGACACTTATAAACCATGACATGACTCATTGCAACTTTTAATCAGGCTCATCACATAGCTTATGATTTTTGTTTGAAATTTATGGCACACAAGATACAAAGTTTTAGCAGACCGAGTTTTCCACTACAATATGTCTTAGCAAAAACTCAAGCCAAGTTATGTTATTAGCTGAAATGACATTTTTCAAAAATCTTTTCCTTTGAATTCTTTTTCAGGCAAAACTGTCTCCCAAACAACTTTTTTTCAAAATATGGTAGGTTGTTTGGAAAATTTTGAAACATCAAAACAACATCTTCACAATGGTAATTTTTTAACACACACATTACGTAAGCTCTAATTGACACACACAAAAAACAGTGGCTAAGTAAAACCTATACTCATAATTACATATACGTGACACACCTCATGACACCACAAGATTAAACACCTATCTTTCATATCTTGTGAAAGAAAACACTGGTTTTATACACAGTATTTTCATGCAACTTAAAGTAAATACTTTATACACATAGCTTATTACACTGCAATGAAATCTAGATAGCATCAATGAATGTCAAGTGGCACATCAGCAGAACTGAATTCTGTGCAGGCCAGTATCTCCAGAAATGAACGTATGAGAGAGATGAAACTTTGCACAGACATTTCATTGGAGAGATGGAGATAGAATTGAATACAATTTATGCTGATGCTTCTAACTGAAACCTGGTCCCAAGCCCACTTTGTCCCACTGTCCACAAAGAATGATTATTCAGCCAACCATGACCATGTGTGAAGAAGTAACATATCATTGGAAAGTCGGGATCTGCAGCTTTAAGTTACTACTAGTCATTTTGGTCTGAAACTAATACAGTCTCCACAAAATTCGAAATAAATTTTGTTGCTTTTTATTCGCTCTGTACCACAAAGATGATTCCAGGTTGTCTTCAACCTGAATCTAGGTTGTCTAAAATCATGAATTAAACAAGTTTCAAAATAGGGCAGTGGCCAGATTAATTTGATTTTGATATTCACCAAAAATGACAAACCGCACCATGTGAAGGGTTTTCATAGAACAAATCACATAAATGTCTTCTGTTTCTTATTTGATGTTAATTTAGCACTATCAGACTACTACTTAAGTTACTTTTAGCAACTTGGAAGGTCTTACTTCAAAGTTGTGTGGCAACAAAACATGAAGCTTGAGACAAAGACAGTCAAGTACTAGAAAACGACCCTAGCATGTAGGTAGACGAGCAATTTGGGTGAAATCCTAATGTCAATGAGTCACGTAACATTTAATATCGGCAATAAATTAATTCCCAATAATGACAGAACTGTAACGCTGTTTGTCTTCAGTGTTAGTGTGTAGGTAAGTGGGAAATGTAACGTGAAATTGTATAGACATGACGTCATCACCGGTCTTGTAACATCATATCAAATTTGCACATTTTAGCCAGAAATAGGGTAATAGAAAGATATGTGTTGATGGGTGCAATCTTGGTATGAAGGTGAACCAAGATGAGTTACAGGAAAAAATTGAGGTGTCGTTGTGATAACATATCATCACCGGTCACGTAACGCTATTCAAAAGAAGCGCACTTGAAAGATGTCGTTCAACAATGGAAGACATTTGTGTCATTTAGGGCTTTCTAACATCTGTGTGTAACTGAAAACACACTACCCCCAACCAAAAAAAACATGATTCTCAACACTGACTGATGTTGAAAATGACTTTACGAACCTTTCTTTCCAAGCTGAATTACTATAAAAGCCATCATCTGTCTAAAAATTGTCGTTGAGTGCAGCATGTGAATCAGTCAAAATTATGCCCTGATGATACATGGGACTAGATCCGAAAGGTTATTTAAATTGCTCCGCACAGCACGGTACATACTATAATCATTCAAGATGCAAAGGTTTACCGTTATGTGATACAGCTGGCAATGGGCCTGTCTTATGCCATTAGTTGGATAGATATCAGCCAGAATGGCAGCAAATTGTGGGTTTTAACGTTCAAGTATGAATTTTGGCATACTTCAGAACTATGGCCTAGGAAATGTTTTGTTTTGGGGTAGGTATTCAAAAACAGACCTCTCGCACATTCCTGTGGGGGAGGAGTGTTCTGCTTTCAGCCTAGCCCAAATAGTCACTAAACATACCAATCCCCAGGGGGGGGTGAGAACGCACTACATCCACGATGTGTGTTAGAGGACATAGAAACCTTGGGTACTATAGAGCAGACTCACAAGATCATGAAGCTGTTAGGTAGTTCCAGTGGTGGTCCGCCCTGCTGAAGAGCCCTTCTGTGGTGACATGATAGATGTCAGGACAGCCCTTTTATGTGAGGAGTCTTTCTTTCGGTGAGGTAGCATGTGGTGAATGTTGATGAGGTCTTTCAACATGCTGCCTTGCATATCTCTTCCATTGTATTGCCTCGGAAGTAGGCCCATGAGGTCAAGACTGCCCGGATGTCATGAGGTCTGATGAAAGGTTGAGTCTGATTGTCCAGGGAATTTTGCCAGTCAGGGTTGGCAAATTTGATGGATGAACCTGCCCACTTGGCTACAGTATCTCTGGTCTGGTTGTACTTCAGAGGTTCTAGTCCTAGCTAGGTACCATTTAAGAGTTCAGACTGAGCACCAAGGCTTGTCATCTGGGGTCCCAGTGTGTTTAGTAATGGCCGGCACAAAAAATCAGGAGGAAGAAAGGACACAGACTGATTCTTGGCAAGGAATCCAAGGGCTGGGATGAGGCAAACACCATGGGGTTCCCATCGGATATGGCCATCAGCAGTGGATAACGCTTTTAGTTTGCTGCCCCAACGTGAGGTAGTAACTGCTAGTAGAAATGCCAGCTTCACCGTCAGATTGAGTAGTGATACTTTGCTGAGAGGTTTGAAGGGGGGACCGACAAGCAGATAAAGGACAGCTGACAGGTGCCAGGAAGGAATCAACCTTTTTTCGGGGGGGGGGGGTTGCTGAAGAAACATCCCTTGGGAAGGTGTTCAAGGGTGCTGTTGTCAGAGACAGTCAAACCATCCTGAATAGATGCAATAGCTGAACGGCTGAACTAACGTTCCGGATGGTTGACACCTGTAGGTTGACTTGAACAGATGCATGAAGAAGTAGGCTGATGTCAGCCGATATGGAGAGTGTTCATTGCCCAAGCCTGCAGATGGTAGTATCTGGTGCAGAACACCAGCAGTTGGGCATTTTCCGCTGAAGCGAACAGGTCAATGTTCAGTCCAAGGAGGCCGAGCCATGCATTGGCGGCAGCCGACTGTTCGGAAGAGAGGACCTTCATGCAATGTAAATGATTGTGGATGTGATCCGTTGTTGGTGAAACTATGCCCTGTTGGAGGTCGATGACTGCTCCTAGGTACGTTGGACATGGAGTGGGAATGGGCTTAGACATCTCAAAATTGATGATAAAGCCCAAGTGGCTTGCGACATTGCAGGTAAGAGGACTGGATGACGCTGTCTCGTTGAATGATCTGCTGATGATGAGCCAGTCGTCGAGATATTTGAATAGCATAACGTCCTGCTTTCAGAGATGAGCAGTGACACTCTTTTCAACCCTTGAAACACTCTTGAAGAAGTGGAGAGGCCAAAGGGAAGAGCTGTGAACTCGAACAGGTTTCCATCGTACAGGAAGTGCAGGTACTTGGAGCTTCATGGGTGTATTAGGACATGAAGGTATGTGTCCTTCAGGTCTATGGAAGAGGCCCAACAAGGAATTGGAAGAGACTAGGAAACTGTCCATAGCATCTCCATGCAGAATTCTTCAGGCTGAATGAACCTGTTCAAAGGCTTGAGGTTGATAATGGGTCTCAAAGTGTTTGGCTCTTTTTCAGGAGTGAGAAAGAATGTGGAAATGAGGCCCTTGTTCATCTTGGACTTGAGAATGCGGCGGATGGCTTGCTTATGGAGGAGCGAGTCTATTTTGGACTCCAGTGCCTCTCGCTTGTTCTGTTGGAAGGAACTGAAGTTGGACGGATAGGAGGTACAGATGGAGGGGTGCTTGTGAATTTGAGGGAATATCCATAGCGGACAGTCGCAAGCACCCAGCTGTCAGAGGTGACTTCTCCCCAGAACCCTGCGAAACCTTGAAGTGGCTCTGTGATGGGTCCGGGAACAGAGGGCGGAAGTGAATCTGCATAGTCAGTGGTGCCTAACCCGATTCAACAGGGGTAGTGCAGACTGGAAGTTTTTCCACTAAAACTCTTGAGAGACGACTAAGGTATGGTGACCATTTAGGTCACCATCCAGTAATGGAAGGGCCCCCCGGTAAGCTTGTCCGGTAGCAAAAACCCCTATCATACCGGACCCACTACCGGACTTGGAGACTGGTCTGTCAGTTGATCAAACACTCATCCATCCTGGAGTTCTATTGTTTGTTGTTTGACTGGCACAATCTAACCCAGAAGAAAGCCCTATCACGTTTTTCATGCTCTCCACTTAACAATAGAAACCCTTCCCAAGCATTCCAAAAAAGCTACAGCCCATGTGGTTTTTCACACAGTGGAACCGTACATCGCCTGGGTGTACGTAG